GCAAACCAGTGGCCATAGCTCATGAATTGGTAACTAATTGTAGGTATGGCCATTTCTTCTTCCTAGCAAAATGAATAACCAGGTGGTCAAAGTTCTGCCCATTGGGAGGATTTCCCTTTACCACTTTCTTTTAGGGCTGTCCCATAAAGGGCCTGTAGTATTGCAGTTGTCCACTTCCAGATGGCACCTGTGTATCGTGCAGAACTATCTGTAAACCAGTCCTGAGTTTTCTTTCCCTGTCAGCTGATTGTGGGGAACTCCCCATAAGGCCATAGTTGCAGGCTGGAAAAGAGAGGGTAGTATAGGCCGGGCATGGTGGCTCATGCCTGTAATCCCAGCTTTTTGGGAGGCCGAGGTGGGCAAATCACTTGAGGTCAGAAATTCGAGACCAGCCTGGCCAACATGGCAAAACCCCATCTCTACTAAAAATACACTAATTAGCCAGGTGTGGTGGTGTGTGCCATGCGCCTGTAGTCTGAGCTACTCAGGAGGCTGAGGCACAAGAATCGCTTGAACCTGGGAGGTGGAAGTTGCAGTGAGCCGAGACTGTGCCACTGCACTCCAGCTTGAGTGACAGAGTGACTCAAAAAAAAAAAAAAATAAATAAATAAAAAATAAAGAGTAGTATAGCAGGAATGGGGACTGTGGCCATGTTCCTTACTTGTTCATCCAAGGCCTACTTGAGCCTGATCTCATATATACCACTTTAATTTAGTGATGGAGTCCTACTGTGTATGCACAACTTTATGGCTTGGTAGGTCAAGTAATACCCAGTTCATGATCGGTAGCTCAGGTCTCATGGTAACTTAGTGGCCCATGATTAAGTGCTCAGTCTATACTAAGACCTACTAGCAAACTAAGAACTGTTTCCCAAAAGGGGTATAGTTATCTGTGAACAATAGCTGGGGTTTGCTTCAATATGCTGAAGGCATGTGCTGCAATTCACGTATGAGGGCTTGCCAGTGACTCCAAATGGCATCCCTATCTGCCATTGACACTTCAAGCACCATTGGATGTGCTGGATCGTATGACCCAAGTGGAAAGCAGCTTGAATAGCAGCCTGAACCTTCTGTTCCGGGACCTACTCAAAACTATCAGGTTTTTGGGTCACTTGTTAAACGGGCCAGAATAACACAGCCAATTGAAGACTGTGTTGCCTCCAAAATTCAAAGAGGCTTACTAGATGTCGTGCCTCTTTCTGGGTTGTAGGAGGGGCCAGATGCAACAACTTATCCTTCACCTTAGGAGGGATATCTCTCCATACCACTGCACCCCTCAAAATTTCACTGAGGTAGAAGGCCCCTGAATTTTTGTCAGATTTCCCATCCCCTGACGTGCAGCTATCTTACCAGTAAGTCTAATGTAGTTGTTGCTTCTTGCTCATTAGGTCCCATCAGCATAATGTCATCAATGTAATGGACCTGCCTAATATCTTATAAAAGGGTGGTCAAGATTCTTGTGAAGCAAATTATGACATAGGACTAGAGAGCTGATATACCCCTGCAGCAGGACAGTGAAGTGTATTGCTGGCCTGCCTGCTGAAAGCAAATAACTTACAGTGTACTTATGGTGGACCTTAATAAAGACAGGTATGGAGAAAAGAGCATTTGTTAGAAAACCAGCTGCATACAGGTACCAGGGGATATGTTAATTTGCTCAAGCCATGAAACCACATTTGGCACAGCAGCTACAATTGTAGTCACCATCTAGTTAAGTTTATGACAATCCACTGTCCAGGAGTCATCTTTCTTCTACACAGGCTGAATAGGAGATTTGAAGGAGGATGTGGTGGTAATCACCAACTCTGCATCTTTCAAGTCTGATGGTGGCACTAGCCTCTGCAATCCTTCCAAGAATATGCAATATTGCTTTTGGTTACCATTTACCTAGGTAGAGGCCATTCTAATGGGTTCCACCTGGCTTTTCCACCACAACAGCCTACACTACAGAGGTCCAGAGACCAGTGAGGGATTCTGCCAGTTGTTGAGCATGTCTGCTTCAATTATGTACTCTGGAACAGGAAAAATAACCCACAAGAAGGTTGCAAGGACCCACTGGGCCTACATGAGACAGACCTGAGCTAAAACTCCATTGATTACTTAATCTTTATAAGGCCCTACTTTGACTGCTGGATCACAGTTACATTTTAGGTCTCCCTGGAATTAGGGTCAATTCAGAGCTAATGCTCAGTAGTAGATTATTTCCTTTCCCCTAACGCACAGTCACCCTGGTAAAAGGCCACATAGGTCCATTTGCAGGAGGCTGGGAGGAAGATTAACAGTATAAATACTTGGCAGTGTCCTTCCTCAAAGGGACCCAGGCTCCCCTTCATTCAAGGGGTCTGGGTTTGTAAACTGGTACAAGTCTGGGTATTGATTGAGAAGCTGTGACTCTCCAATTTAATAATTCAAATTAAATTTTTTATCACTTGACCTAGAATTCTTCCACGTATACAGATCAAGTAAAAATTTAGTAGACTTCCCATCCATTTCACTTCTAGGAACATCATGATAACTAGCCAACACCATAGGTCTCTAAGAGTCAGACTATTCTGATTAATGCTTTGACTCTGCTTCAGTTATGGTACTATGCTCACCTTGTCTTTGGTGATTAAGTGCCCCCACTTGGTTCCTGCCATTCTAGGATCCAACTACTCCCATTGCATTTAGGTTTCCCAATTCAGTGGCAGCAGTTCCCACTGAAAGTTCTAGCCTGCAGAGAAGAATGATCACATAACTGGGGAAAGAAGCTGGGGCTGCCCTTACAACTTTATTTTTCATAGTCATGATAAAAGAAAGGTGTGTCTTCTGGAACCTCGCAGGTTTGGTGAGTAGGCCTTAAATAAATCTGTTAATACTTGAACATTACAGTGTCCCTAAAGTCTCTTTTTTTATGGATCTCTTCTTCTAGAGTATACCAAATCAGTTCTGGCATTTTAACTTCATGTCGTTTAGGCCACCTTTTGGTCCATGTTTCATCCAACCGTCCAAACAAACTATTAAAGCTCTTTCTTACCCCATGGGCTGCAACATTAAGTGTGGAACCTCTGCTTAATGAGCTCCTATTGGTAAATTTAGCCTGATTCAACTTTATATTTTTTCCACTGTTATCCTATACCTTTAATACCTATTCCCATACATATTTCCTTGGTTTTTGTCTGTAAATTGGAGAAATTATGTAGTTCTTTGGAGTATAGCATAATTCCTCATGGGTCATACTTCACACCTCACCTTTAGGAGCCTGCTGAGACTTGAACTAGTTATAGGTCTAGAAGCAAAGAGGGGTAGTGGGGGTGAATCAGTAGTGTCTTGCATGGCAGATACCTCAGAGGAGACCATTGCAGTTTTCTCAGGCCAAATAGAGTTAATCTAAGATATGGATGAGTGGCTGCTTCTACTGGCAAAGAAGACTGAGAATTTAAGGGTTCAATTTTGCCAGCTTCATTAGGATCTTCCCAAATAACCTCCATTCCAAAATTTAGAATCCTACTTCTTCTTGGTCAATGCCCTCACTTTATTAGCAGATGCCCTGTGAGGTTGTGAATTCAGTTTGCATTGTAATTCATCCACTTAAAGGATGAGATTCTGAGTTTGGTTTTCATCAGTCTCAGCTCTGCAGCTATAGGGGTTAAGAGGTTTTTTTCAGGGCAGTCATAGAAACTTTCTGGTCATTTACAAAGTACTTACACTGATAATTCAGATCTCTGAGCTCATCCTTTCTCTCCTTTGTTCAGCACACTTAGGATTAGCCAGCCAATCTCATATTTGTTATTTTGACAAAAATGTTCAAAATTTTGTATGTGGTCACCTGGAACCTTGCCTCTTAAAACTATTTTATTAGGAATATCCAGTGGTGGTATTTTGTGTATCTCTGCTGCCACATCACACTATAGATTATCAGTACTCTGTTTTCTACTGGAAAGAGTCATTAGGGCCTTTAAATCTAATCCGATTAGAGAACCAACCCCAGAACCAATTTAGAAAACTCATCCTTAAGATTATTCTCTAGAATCACTCTCAGTACTAAAGTCTGTGTTAGGGTTCTCCAGAATAACAGAATTAATAGAATATGTGAATATACATATACATACATACATATGTGTGTACGTGTGTGTGTGTGTGTGTGTTTAGGGAGAGAGATTGAGAAAGACTGAGATTGATTTTAAGAAACTTTCTCAACTAATTGTAGAGACTAGCAAGTCCAAAATTTGCAGGGCAGGCTGACAGACTGGAGATCCGTGGAAGAGTTAATGTGGAGTTAATTTTGTGGTTCAGGTTAGAAAGCAATCTGGAAGCAAAATTCTTTTTTCTTGGGGAAATGTCAGGCTTTTTCTCTTAAGGCCTTCATCTGATTAGATGAGGCCCACCCACCTTATACAGAATGAACTACTTTACTCAGAGTCTACTGATTCAAATGCTAAAAACTGCCTTTGCAACAACATACAGATTGGTGTTTAACCAAATGTCTGGGTATCATGGCCTAGCTAACTTGACACATAAAATTAGCCATCCCAGTGTGTATGTACATATTTAACAATAATCCACTGACTCCTGGGAAAATATCAGTGTATATATGTTTATATAGATATTTTTCCATATGTATATATGTGTCTGAGAAAGATATATACAAGGGTTAAAATATTTTCATTTATATATTCTTGGTATGTGTATAACTATCTTAAAATGACCCAGATTTGGTGATTTGGAGTGTTCGATGTATTTTATTAAGACTCCTCTGTATGATAAGCTTTATTTATAAACATAGTGCTCATAGTGAGTATTCAGCATAAGCAGGATAGGCCTGAAGAATTCTAGCTATCGCACTTTTAGACCTGACCTGAAACAATTTCTGCCATCCTAGTTTGTGAAATAGACATACTTAAAATTCCTCTTAGAAAGGAACAAAAAGCTCCTGGTTAAAATATGATAAAATAACTACATCTTAGCTTGAAAGATGAGAACTATTATATGTTGATCAGTATGTTGGGCTTTTTAATTTAGATTTTTAAAGAGCGAGAAGAAGATTTGAGGCGTTTGTCTCGCCCATTGGAATGTTCTTGTTTCCGAACATCTATCTGGGATGAAACCCTCTATAAGGTGTGTATGTCTCCCTGAGTTCCCTCATTTTAAGAGCATGAAAAAAAACCTAGAAGGATGTTAACAAAACTGAAAGATTTTAAACTATTTCATAGCCATCTAGATTTGTTGTACTAAAAAGAAAAATAATCTGCAACAAACTGTTTGAAGAATATCAAACTTAATATTAAGAGACTTGGGCTTTGATCTTAGATTGGGTCGACATAGCTACTGAGTCACACTGAATTAGCCAGTTTGGTGATGATTAATTTGGTACTGGTCTTTGTGATAGCAAAGGTTTCACTTACTGGCCATCATCCATTTTGACCTGTTGTGGTCTCAATGCTGATTGGAGTTGTATCTAGTATTCAGGTACTTCTACATGATATAAGCTAGTCTGCCTAAGTTTGGATGGCAATAAAATGACAATATTTAGGAAAGAGATTGGAGAAGGAATCTTAGAATCAGACATGTTATGCCTAGCATATGGTATAATAGCTTCAACTTTCATGCCAAATTGGAGACGAGCATTCTTTCAACCAGAAGTACTGTTCCCATTTCTGGAATGGATACCACACTGCTTACACTTATTATGGAGGTTACAACAATAGCTTTGTTATGGATGAAGCTGAAATTACCTTATTGGCACATAGGCTCCTTATTCTGATTCCTCCCTTTCTCCTACTGATCTGGTTATTTGAAGGACTAGGTCCTTTTGGATCCTCCTATAGTTAGCCCTTCAGACTGCTTCTGGTATCCATTGACAAGTCTGACTCTGGGTAGGAAAGCACCCTTCTCTGTCACTGGTAGCTAGAGCCTCAGTATCAACGGCATCTGACAAGTATCTACAACCAGAAGCACAGAAACCTGACGTGGCAAGGAGAAAAACCATTGGACTTTAAAATAGCCATTGCTTTTTTTTTTTTAACTAATTCATTTTCCCCAATATTATGTTGACCTAGCCTCACTCTAATAACAGATCATTTTGAGATACCTGTCTAGGAAATACTGTTCTAGATTAATATGGGCCGAATTTCTCTCAAAGCCTTATTCCCATAGAACAGGTAACCGTGAATAAGGATGGACATGACGCACTGATAAGAACCAACTGCGGTGTGAAGGATGGCAATACATAACACGACCAAAGACAATTGGCTAATCACAACACTGCTGTGAGTGACAATGTCTCTGCTGTGGTTAGCTTTGGTGCCTTCTCCAAGGTAAATTCAGCAGTGACATTAACACCGACCTGGGAACTTGGAACCTGAACCCTCATGCCTAAGTAATAAAACTAATTGGAACAGAGACATGGCACTTCTATCTCTTACATCAATGTTGCATAGAGCTGACTTAAATTTTTATATTAAGTTTTATTCAACAAGCACTCATTACATACCTGCTTGATGCTGTTGGATACACAAATGACTAAGACCAGGTTCCTGCCCTCTTGTAGGGGAGAGAAGAACAAAGTACACCTTACCAGACAAATTGGAGTCAGAGTGAAGGAAGTATTATAATGAAAATACAAATAAAAGAGCCTATAAGAATAGAGGGAGAGTGTGGTTAATTTCAACTGCTTACATTAGTCATACTCCTGGATGAAGTCAGTTTTAGGCAAAAACACAGTAGACCATTTTGAATTCAATTGGATCAATAACTTATGCAGATAACAACAAACCTTTGGGAATGATAATGCCACTAGTTTCTCTTTTAATGGTATATTATTCTATTGAGGGGAGGGGCCATTTGTCTATGTGGCTCTGCTACTTTCATTAAATTGATTCTTAGGTATATGTTAAATATAGCATAATTAGGTTCTGATCTTTAGAGAAATCTACACTGTTGGGCTTAAATATTTGTGACTAGATTAGGAGCTTTTTAACAGAGTAGATAATATTTTTCACCTTTTTTCTAAGGCAACATGATGGCATTAAATATTTGTTTGCTTTCAATTATCAATGGAAATAAGTTTCTCCAGCATTTTACAAAAGTGTTTGAACTTAAAAAAAAATTCAACTCAAGGATAAAAATCAGATGCTAGCTTCATTTTCTCATTTCATTTGTGTTATATCATATTTAATGTCAGTATTTGTTTGGGACTGGATTATCATCATATTTTGCTGTCCACATGTTATAGTGTACTTACTAATTTCAAAGGTCTGGGACTGACTAGCTGTTAATAATAGTACACTGTGTTTCTGTTCTGTTAGGCTTGGTCCAGCATAGTTTATCAGCTGATTCCCAATGTTCAGCAGCTGGAAATGAACCTAAGGAACTTTGCTGAAATTATCGAAGCTGATGAAGTACTTCTGTTTGAGAGAGCTACTTTTCTGGTAAGAACTTTCTGCTTTGCACATGTACTTCACACTGTACCTTCTTTATTTTCAGCAACAGAGAACAGCATGTCACTACTTTCACGAAGAACCTTTTTCCCTCTTGTCAACTTCAGCATGTACAGCCTTATTTATAAAATAGTACTGTCAGCAAGTGACCTGAAAGAAGGAAGCCCTTTGGTGTGTAGCTCTTTAGAAGTTAATGAAATTAGATTTTTGCAGGTATTTCTTATTAGTGAGTTCAGATTATTGGCTGGGTGTGGTGGCTCACACCTGTAATCCCATCACTTTGGGAGGCCGAGGTGGGTGGATCACCTGAGGTCAGGATTTTGAGACCAGCCTGACCAACATGGAGAAACCCCATCTCTACTAAAAAATACAAAATTAGCCAGGTGTGGTGGCACATGCCTGTAATCCCAGCTATTCAGGAGGCTGAGGCAGGATGGAGGTTGTGGTGAGCCGAGATCGTGCCATTGCACTCCAGCCTGGGCAACAAGAGTGAAACTCTGTCTCAAAAAAAAAAAAAAAAAAGAGAGAGTTCAGATTATTTATGCTAATAACTGTTCATTTATGTTAAAGAATTCCTATTTCCTGTGGACTTTTATTATGAAATGTGGCATATTTTCCTTTTGAGAAAACTCACATCCTATCTTTTTCTCTAAAAGACTCATTGAAAACTTTTAATGTAGAAGAAACGTTATGGTCATCTCAGTGACATAATTAGGAGTTCACATGAAGAAGTGGAGAGGGAAAGAAGCATGTTGGTATTTCTATTTTTCTTGTAAATTGAGCTTAGCAACTATATTAGAGCCTACTGTTTGTATAACCCTGAAAGGGGGATGCAAAAACCAGTATTGTATTTGTAAATACATTTTAAAAATAGCAATAACAGAAACTAATTTAAGATGTCACAACACACTGCATAAGTAATTGCTAATTAGCCTTGGTAAATGTAACTCTAAGAGCCTTTCCCAGTAAATAATTTGTTTCTGGGCCCTGCCAATGCTTGGTGATGTTAGAAACAATACTTAATCTCTAGGGGCTTGTTTTCCTTCTACAAATATCTAGATCGTAGATTTATTGTGCAGATGAAAATGGGACACAGGAACATTGAGCACCTAGCAAGCCTTGGCATTTAGCTGGCAAACTATTAAATATTGATTCCTTTTGCTACTATAGCAACAGGGCAGAGAATCTAAAGTACAATTTTCCCCTCTTCCTTTGTGGAAATATTATTTGTAACCCCGAGAGTATTTGGGAGCCATCCTTCTAGCTGGTATAGATGGGGCAAGGAGTCCTAATTAGAGTATCTTTCTGTCTCAGCCCACTGACAGAGGTCACTTGCTTGGAATTGTGCTACCCTGAGCCTGTTTTTCCTGCTAGTGTGAGTAACCATGAGCAAGAAAGCTATTCTGTCTTGATGTACGTGGCAGGACCGAAACCTGCTTCAGCAGTATTCCCCTACTATGTCTGCCACACATGGTTGTAGAGGTTAACCTAATATAAGCTCCCTGTTCCTCACTAATAGTAACAGGTAGTTTTTGTTTCTCTTGAGACCAAGTTTAGATGTGACTGAACATTTTCACTGAGCGGGGTGAAGTCAAGCAAGGGGGATTTGTTCTTCCACTGGTATAGAAATTATGTTTTGAAATTTTCACATTGTCTCATGGAATTTCCCTGTGAGTTTTCTTCTGGTGAGTGACTCAGTTTTGCTTCCTACTAGACACTCTGCATCTGTATATTCAGCCTATAGGTAATACTTGTGTGGTTTTATTAAAATCTGAAAAAGTTAGAAAAAGTATTTTCAGCTGGTATGGATGTCCATCCTGCATAAGTTCATTTGTAAATAGTCCTCAGGGATTGGAATCAACCAGTTAAGCTTTTAAAATATAATTCCAAAAGCTATTTGGTTAGCTTGGGCTTTTTAAAAATTAAACACGTGAAGTATACCTCAAGAAAAGCTAGGAATTTTTATGTTTTTCTTTTTGATTTGTACTTTTTAAAAATCGAAGACTATCGTGAAATATTGAAATAAAATGAATATTTAGTGATTAAGGTTAGAAAAAATAGCAGTGAACCAAAATAGGCAATACGTAAATGATTTAATAAAATTATAACCAAACGGTACTAGATGGGCCATCTGAATGGACGTTGAAATCACACAGAATGTTGGTAAGATACAGGACAGAGGAAAAGAGACAATAAGCCAGGTGCCAAGTCTACTCTACCCTAAAAACTAGTGACCAAGGGACTGACAAATGTCTGCTTTGAGGAGTAGCAGAGGATGATATGACTATTTTGCATGGATTCAAAGGACAATATTCTTTTTCATAGGTAATTTCTCACTATCAGTGTAAAGAGCAGCGTGATGCCCATAGATTTGAGAAAATAAGCAACATTATTAAGCAGTTCAAGCTGAGCTGCAGGTAAGAGATCTTGTATGAATGATCTGTTTATCTCTTGAAAAAATTATTGTCATTTTTTAGAAGTTCAAGTAACTATAGTTAAGTGTACTTCTATATTCAGAATAGTTCCTTCAATCAAAGAGAAAGCTAAATTCTAAGGGGCCTCCAGTTGACTGAAGTGCAGGTCCTTGTCCTTTAATGCATACTCAGCTGGTACAGAAGCATATGAAAAATATCCAAACAGAATATCTTTTTGAGATGATTGATACTATTTGGGAAGAAACAGAATATCTAAGAGAGTTTTGAAAAAGAAGAAGGAAGGAGCATTTGCCTTACTGAATGCCAAAATTTAGTCTAAAACTACTACTTTAAGTATTTACTATTTAACTGAATTAAAATAGTGAAGTACTGATTCAGAAATGGTACAGAAAAGACAGTCTAGAAATGTTTAATCATGTTGTGTCAGCCATTGTTAAATAAAATTTGAATCATAGCATTGCGAATCTAGGAAAAAGGAATGGCTGAACACCATAATTTAGCAAAGATTTAATAATCAAAATCCTTACCCTGATAAAAGTTTGATTCCAGAACAGCAGGAGTAAGCTTACTCTCTATGCCTTAGCACACTTTGAGACTTTCTGGAATGTTTATGCTAACATTTTGAAGAAGAAATAGCCAATGACAAGCAAATATAGTTGCCTTGTTTGTTTTCAAAGAAAAAGGTCATTTCTTGAATTTAAATGTAACACTGAAAAGATGTAGGCTTTAATCTCAATGTTAAGGAAATTTCAACTTAAGATGCTTATTAAATGTTGAAGAAGTCTTCTGAAAATGATTTTAAACATGGATCTAGGTCTAAGTCAATTTTCATTTCACAGTCAGTTTCAAGTGCTTTAGGCAGATGTGGTGGCATGCACCTCTGTAGTCGCAGCTACTTGGGAGGCTTAGGCAGGAGCCTAAGACTTGAGCCAGGATTTCAAGGCTGCAGTGAGCCATGATGGCACCACTGCACTCCAGCCTGGGTGACAGAGCGAGACTCTGACTCATAAAAAAATAAATTGAAATTGAAAAAATTTTAAAAATCAAGTCCTAGCCCACTTTTGTCCCAGTTACTTTTCAAAACATGTTAAATTCAGTATAAGAGTTTCCTTGGAAAAAATAGAGTTAGTGATTAACAATCTTAATGAAGTGGTGAATTGAGGTATAATGCTATAAAAAAGATGTTTAATATAAATGATAAGAGCTTGTTAACAGTGTTATTATTTCATTCTTTAACCACTTTTCTTCTTTTTCCTATAGCAAGCTGGCTGCCTCTTTCCAGAGTATGGAAGTCAGGAACTCTAACTTCGCTGCTTTCATTGACATCTTTACATCCAACACTTATGTGATGGTTGTGATGTCTGATCCATCCATTCGTAAGTTTAAACTTAGCTGACCTAGCTTCAAAGCCACATATTCTTTAAACAATTGTCCCAGAGGTAGTACCTTATTAGATACTTAAAAGCTGTTTTATAGTGGAGATGATTGCACAACAATGTGAGGGCACTTAATCCCAATGAACTGTATGCTTAAAAATAATTTAAATGATAAACTTTGTGTTATGTATACTTTACCACAATAAAAAAAACTATTTTAGTACTAGTGGTAAATAGTTTTTATTTAATAGACTTATATTTTAAAGCTTAAAAATAATTTACCCTCTAGTGTATTACGTTTTTATTCATGGGAACTTCAAAAAGCAAGTCACTAAATCCAAGAATTTTAAAGAAAAGAGAACCCAAATACATGATTTATGCTGCATCTGGTATAGATTTTTAAAAGACTAGTCAATCTAAGCTCTTAAACTATTAAATGACAAACTATTTTATATGTCATTGCATATTCCTATGTACTATATTCTCATATTTCTGTTATGGGCATGAAGGGGTGTTTGATGCTTCCATACCATAATAACCATGACTATCACAACCATTGAAATAAAGGTTCTTGCAGTATTTTTCAGGATGGTCCCAGAGTTTAAATTAATTTCTCATCCATTGACTTTTGCTACTTTAAGTTAATATTAAAATATAACATAAATTTATGGGTTTTATGTTGTTAGCTCCAAACCAAAAGATTTTGGAAATTTATTTTGGAAATTTTGTGTTTAGAATATGAATAAATCTTCTGCTTATTCAGAAAAATTAAACCTTGATAACTTGGGACCTCCTATTCCTGTATGTTCTCTGACATACATTGAGGGATTTGGCTCTCTTTTGTTTATTTGTTTTACTAGTCAGACATTCCTTTGGCTGCCCATACTTAATTTTGTTGGGTGTTTCCGCCCCCACCCTCAGCTTCTGCAGCTACTCTGATCAACATCCGCAATGCCAGGAAACACTTTGAAAAGCTGGAAAGAGTGGATGGACCAAAGCAGTGTCTTCTCATGCGCTAAACATTGATGAATGTTGTTTCACACAAAAATTAAAAGTTTCCTAATTAATGTTGTATTCATATATGTAGGCTCTGAAATGTTGTGATGCTTATTGCTTCTGTATTTCTTCTCTACTCCCTAGTCTTAATGTTAAACCTTGAATGCTATTAACTTAAATAGCCATTGAGGAGTTAGAAGATGAATTGTTCATGAAGTTGGTGTTACATAAAAGTAGGTGATATGTAAGTTTTCTGATAACAAGGTTCTAATAGTGTTTAAATGTACTGGCAATCTGGTTCCAATAGTTGTGTTTGCCAAAGCCTTTCTCAGCATCATCTTGTATTCCTTATCAGACAGTAAGTAACCTGTAAGTTTGGAGTATTACTGTTTTCTCAGCATGCATTAAAAATATTCCTTAACTTCAATTGTAAATAAACTTTTGCTGTTAGGGATTTCAGTGTCTATTTTTCTTTTCCCTGTTTCTTCAACTTTGTCCTAAGAAACAGTAAAGGAATTTCACAGTTATCCTAGGTGAAGGGGACCTTCTGGTTGGGAAGGCACAAAATAAAGTTGGATGGGAAGAATGTAGCCAGATTATGGCCTTAAAGCGAGCCAGAAGAATTCAGATATAAGACATCTAAATGTGATAGGATATAGGAAAGCATTGTGGGCCTTTGAGCAAGGGAATTATGTGAAAGCAATTTTGAAAGAAAGTTAAGCTAGACCATATGTACTGACTGATGGCAGCTGGGGAAACTCTGGTAGTAATCCATGCCTGAAGTGTATTGAAAGTCTATTCAGGATGCAGCTGGAGAAGGAATGCATAAAAAGTGGGGGGGAAATAGGATTTATGAGGTCCAGGAGTGGTTAATTAGGTGTAATTTCCATAACACTTAATGAGATGTACCTTCATTATTCTATCAAGCAGTATTAAAACCTTTTTCAAGCTGGCAGTTGGCTTTAATTTTGTCCCCTAAGGAAAAAATGAAGCACGGTGAACTGTGAGAAATGGAGTTTGATATCACAAAGCCCTAACCTTTTCAGTTTCCATTTGCAGGAAAATAGAAGACAGAACCATTTAGGGAATCTACAGCACCGTTGACAGTAGACTCATCCCATTTCTCCTTCTCCATGTCATAAAGGAACTTCTTCTAAACCACTGGTCTCTCACCTTTTCTCACCTTAGTTTAATAGTCCCAGTTGAGGGATAAGTAGAGTTTTCACTGAGCAGCAAAAAACATGTTTTTTTTTTTTTTTTTGCTACATGACCTGCATTATGTAGACTAAAATTCTCAACTTGTAAAACAATTTTATGGGAGTATTTCTATCAACAGCTGTGTTAATCTTCTGCAGAAGGAGAGATTTAAGTATTCCAGAGTCTTTATCCTATTAGCATCTAGGAAAATGAAAAGAGTTCAGGAAAGTGAAAAGAGTAATTGAACAGGGGTATATTCTGTGACTAGTAATGAAGTGGGATTCACTTCTAAATCAGACATTCACACTACTTGAATGTGTTCTTTTTAAGGTGGATAGATATTGATACATATAGAGACATTAAATTAGATGAGCCCAGAAAAATCATAAAGTTATATCTTTATCCTATTTGCCCTTAGTTCATTCAATCCCTGCTCAGATTATAGTTATAACTTGGACATGGATGTTTTGAAAGTTTAGACAAATGAGGTTCTGATTAGACTTAATCCTTCTTATGGTGATGGCCAGATAGCTGTCTTTGTCACTGAAGGCAAAAGAGTTTTGAGATATATATTTATCCAAAGATGCAGTCACTTTGAAACAGAAGTGGAATCAGGTGGATGGTGAAGGCATGCACACAGAAACAGATGGAGAATAGAAATCAAAATTAGAGATGAAATGATACAATGAAATAATGCTTTTTATAGGCCGTGTTAACTATGTCAGTAGGATAGGGCAGTGGGTCTCAAACTTGAGCATGCATCAGAATCACTTGGAGGGGGGCTTATTAAAACAGATTGCTGCCCCACCCCAAAAGTGTCAGATTCAGCAGGTGAGGCTCATGAATCTACACTCCTCACATGTTGCCAGATGATGCTGATCCTGCTGGTCCAGGGACTACACTTTGGAAACCACTGCTTTAGGGAAGAAAAGAGGAAATGTAGACTTGGAAACAAGTATGGGAAAAACATGTGTTCACCACTTTGGCAATAATGAAGTGAAGGCATTATACCAAGTATGATATATATGTTTTAAACCACTGATTCTCAAAGTGATCTGTAAGTTTGAGAAGCACTGTTGTAGACAAAAGCAATGCCTGGGAAGCTTGTGTTTCATAAGTAATATGTTCATGTGGAAACCCTTGCTGGTATAAAGAGACTATGGGTACTGATTTGTATCGGGACGACCTAGCTTGTTGCAGTTTCATCCAGCTTTATTTGCTAACTCAATAGGATACCAAGAAGAGTTAGGTGGATTGCCAAATGAAAACGGTGCTATCCTTTAGTTGAGTACTTACCAAGTGTCAGTGCTTTATAAGGATTATTTCAGTTAATCCTTACAAGAACCCCATGGCATAAGTACTATCACTGTCTCCATTTTGAAGATGGGGAAACTGGTCTCAGAGAGAATAAGAAACGTGCTAATAGTTACTGTAGTAATGGCACAGCTGGGATTTGAATTCAGTGTAACTCCGGAGCTCATGTACTTATTCTTAACCTTGAAGTTATATGGCCTTCCTGAATGTAAGGGCCTATTCAGAGTGGAGAGTATGAGGTGCACCCAGATGTGGTACCTCACTGTGAGATTACCACTATTTGGCTACTTTGAAATAGTAAAGCAAATGCTCGTGAACCTATCTTACTCCTGGTTTTACTGGAGCATAGGAAGCCTTACCACAGTAGGCAGTACAAAGCAGTCACCAGGAAAACAAAGCAAAAACCCCTCCAGCTTGAAGGATTTAGGTCAAACCTAAACAGTTTTTTAATATTTAGAAGTTTTGTCCCTGAATTAGGTTTCTGTAAGCAGTTATAGCCTCTACTTCTCTGGGGCCATTTATTAATAAAAATAGGAGGGAGAAAGTGTGTAACTTTATAACATTTTTAGGTCTCTCCCAACAGTGCCTTGCATAGGCCAGTTTAATATTTCCTGCTCAAATTCCTGACTCTTCATTATAAAGCAAGAAGTGGTTAGGGCCCTCCTGTAGCCCTCACTAACAAAATTTCTGGCCTCATTAATTTAGTCAAAAGATATTTTTTCAATACTTACTATGTTTCAGACACTGTTTTTGAAGCCCAGGATATGAGAGTGAACAAAATAAAGCCCTTGTAGTCATGGAGTTCATATTCTAGGAAGAGGAGACAGACAACCAATTAAGTAAACATAATATATTAGGAAAGAGATATATGAAGAAAACTTAAGCAGTAATGTGGGAAGGGGCTGGGGCAGGCAGAATAATGGCCCCATGGAGGATTACATCCTAATCCCTGGACCTATGAATATGTTGCATGGCAATGAGGAAGTCAGGTTGCAGATGGAATTTAGGCTACTAATCAGCTGCCCCCAACATAAGGAGGTCATCCAGGTTTATCCAAATGGTCTAATGTAATCATAAGGGCCCTTTAAATGTGGGAGAGGGAGGTAAGAGAGTCAATGTCAGAATGACTTGCTGTGAGAAAGACTCAATTTGTTGTTCTTTGCTTTGAAGATGGAGGTAGGGGGCCATGAGCCAAGAAATGTGAGCAATCACACTAGAAGCTGGAAAAGGCAAGGAAACTGATACTTACCTAGAGTCTCAAGAAAGAAACAGCCCTGCTGACATCTAGATTTTAGCCCAGTGAAACACACATCAGACTTCTGATATCCAGAACTATAACATAATAAATTTTTATTGTTTTAAGCCACTAAGTTTGTGGTAATTTGTTAGAGAAGCAATAGGAAACTATATTAATCAGGGTTCTCCAGTGAAACAGAAGCAATAGGGTGTGTGTGTGTGTGTGTGTAAAAATGTATTAGAAATTGGCTGACATGATTCTGGAGGCTGAGAAGTCCAAAGATCTGCAGTCAGCAAGTTAAAGACCCAGGAGAGCCAATGATGTAGTTACAGTCTGAGTCCAATGGCCAGAGAACCAGGAGAACTGATAATATAAGTTCCAGTTCAAAACCTGGCAGGCTTGAGACTCAGAAGGAACCAGTGTTTCAGTTCAAGTCTGAATGCAGGAAAAGACTGATGTCCTGGCTCAAGGCAGTCATGCAGGAGAAATTCCCTCTTACTAATGGGAGAGTCAGCCTTTTTGTTTATTCAGGCCTTCAGCTGACTGGATAAGGCCCACCCACATTAGAGAGGGCAATTGCTTTACTCGGTCTACCCATTCAAATGTTAGTCTCATCTAAAAACACCCTGACAGACACACCTAAAATAATATTTCACTAGATATTTAATCTGGGCACCTTGCAGCCTAGTCAAGTCAACATGTAAAATTAACCATCAGAGAAACTAAAACAGGGATTTATTTAGTTAGGGAGATCAGAGATAGCCTCTAACATGAGATGACATCTGAACAAAGAACTGAATAAAATGTGAGAGCCATGTGTATAGCACGTTAAAAAAAAAAAAAAAAAGACATTTTAGGCAGAGAAAACAGCAAGTACAAAGTCCCTGAGGTGGGAGGATTCTCAGAATATTAGAGAGGCAGCAGCAAGGCCAATGTGGAGGTAAGAGTGGTAAGAAGAATAGGAGATTAAGGTGAGGAATTAGATAGACATGGGGTGGGAGAGAAGACTGTGTAGGACCCTTTAATCAATTGTAAGGATGTTTGTGTTTACTACCAGTAAGATGGGAAAGCCACTAGAAAGTTATGAGCAGAGGGGTGATGTGATCAGACTTACTTTTTAAAAAAGATCACAGGTAAAGAATAGACAATTTGGAGATAAGAGTAAAAGCAGGGAGACCAGTGAAGAAGCTATTGTGATACGTAATATTAGGTATCAACTTGACTGGATTGAGGGATGCCTAGCTATCTGGTAAAGTATTGTTTCTGGGTGTGTCTGTGAGGGTGTTGCCAGGAGAGATTGACACTTGAGTCAGTGGACTGGGAGAGGAAGACACCTTCAGTGTGGGTGGGCACCATCCAGTCGGCTGCCAGTACTGCTAGAACAAAGCAGGCAGAAGAAGGGGGATAAAAGCAGCTTGTTTACTGAATCTGCTTGTTCTCTTGCTTCCCATGCTATGCCCGATGCTTGGCTTCCTTTCCTCCTGCCCTGGGACATCAGACTCCAGGTTCTTTGGCCTTTGGACTCTAGAACTTGCACCAGCAGCTTCCCAGGGGGCTCTTGACCCTTTGGCCTTAGGCTGAGGGCTGCACTGTCAGCTTCCCTGGTTTTGAGGCTTTCAGACTTAGACTGAGCCATGCTCCTGGCTTCTGTCTTTCCCCACCTTGCAGATAGCCTATTGTGGGACTTTACCTTGTAACTATGTGAG